GAATTTTAAAATTTGTAATTTTTCTCTTATATTGTAATGAATGCTTTTATCTGAAATAAAATGTGGTGTTCTGTTTTTGCTATGATTGAGGGGGAGTTTTCTCTAAGTTATGCATATTTTGAGGGGGAGCTCTTATGTTTGCCTTAGAAGAATTATTTTTTATTATAATCAAAATATGGGGAGAAATATTTAAAGCCTAATATTATTGTTTTTAAATATTATCTGGTATGTGTAATGTGTTTGTTAGTATGACAGATAAAACAGGTTATTACAAGGCTTTAAAAGATAATTTTGATCATCATCAAAAAGGGGGAGATTGTTGAACATTCAAGGACTTGATGTTGCACTTGATGGACATGAAGATTGTTGATTTTGATGATGATTCAAGAACTCAAAGACTTAGAGTGTTGAAGACTTGTTTTGTATTGTAATAACTCTGTTTCAATTAGATTGAGTCTGTAATATTAGTGTTTAAGATAGCCGGTACATAGTCTCGCACCTTAGAAGCTTCAAAAAGCTCAAATTTATCATCCAGGCTCGGCTTTAATCGATTAAATAGGGAAATAATCGATTAAAACAGTGAGAAAAACCATTTTATGTATCTGCTCACTGGTTTAATCGATTAAACCACCTGTTAATCGATTAACGCACTTTTAATCGATTAAAACAGAGAGTTTCGGGGTTTTGTTGATTTTGGCTTCTGTAATAATCGATTAACACTTCATTTAATCGATTATTTCAGATCGATTTTGATTTTTAACTTCAAATCAACCCTATTTTCGAAAACCCTATTTCCAAGAACCCTAATTCCGAAATTCCCAATTCCCAAACCCTAATTTATCTACTTAAGCTTCTCTATGGCACTCAGAAAAGAAGAACAACCTTTTTCATGCAAAAGTTAAGTGTTGTGAGTGTCAGAGAACTGTTTGTTGCAAGAAAAAGGGGCTTTTGGAACCTGGTGTGGGCTAGAAGCGATAAAAATCACTAAGTGGAGTTCTTAGTGGATTGTGTGTTGTGCCGTCTCTAGGGAAAGTTGTTCATCATCTCTTGTGGATTTCAAGAGAGGTGTTTTCTTATCTTTATCTTTTCAATTGTAATTTGCTTGTAACATTTTGATTATAGTGACAACGTTAATCCTCTGTTTGAGTGATTAGCAACTGGATGTAGGATCTTTTGATCCGAACCAGTATAAATTTCCTGTGTAAGATTCTCTTCTCTTCTCTATTTACATTTACACAGTTTTTAATCGGTAAAATTTGGGAAAAATTTTGAAAACCTAATGTTTATTAAGAAACCAATTCACCCCCCCCCTCTTGGTTTTTGTCCGACCACGCGAACATTCCGCTACACGATTCTAACAATATAGTCAATAACATAGATATGGGATCATCTTTAGATTTTGTCATGTCCTCATCAATAACAAGTTGTTTCTTATGCTTACCATGACGAATAAACTCTTAAACAAATGATAACAATTAATTAAGCATTCATATAATTATAAGAATAGAAAAGAAGAGAAAATGTACAATATATACATTACCTTGGCCCGTGTTGAGAGTGACATCACCAAACGTCTTAACCAAGCTAAGAATGTGTCGCTTGTCTGCCCCACTAGTTGAATCTCTTCATTAGGAATATGAACTAGAGCATCAACATCATGAACTTCATCAATTACTACCCGTCTCCAGTCTGCCTACAGAGGGACACTATGGATGGTTAAGCCACCCTAAAAAAGCGGACCAACAATCACTAGACGTGGGGGGTCATCCTCAACATATAACTCACATTGGTGTGGTGCATTAGTCTAAATATATTCCCTTGAAGGATCTGTAGCAACAACAACAAAACTCCCTTTAGTGTTGACTCGAAGAACATCATTTTGAATTTCTGAGGTGTTCCTTGAGTTTGTTGTTGAGAGCGAGCAAGAGATTCAAGTTTCTCATCAAACCCTTGCTGCAAGGATTGTGTACTTGATTTAACTTTTCTTCAAATTGCATCTCCATTTTATGCAAGGTCTCCTGGTTGCAAGAGTCATCAGTGGTCCTTTATGATGGTGAACCAAAGTAATCACGAAGGTCTCAGGATCCACCAGTACCACGCACACATCTTGGGTGCTCTGGTCTTCCTATAATCGTTGTCAATATGTCTTCTTGACCATGGGGAATAAATGATCCTTAGATGGTCTGCTCAATTAAATCATCATGCAACAAACATTAACAATAACTAAGTTACACACTAACTTACGTAGGAATCAATTCAAATTGACATTATAATTTACTATTTTTTCAACAATGATTCGTGCAGATTCAGAAATCATTTGTCCATTAAATCTTGTCCGGGCTACCTTCCACATCTCATAGCAGGAGTGGAAATGCAAGGTCAGCAGACTCAACTCTAGCTTTCATGAAACGCTACTCAATACTAATATTATATATATATATATATATATATATATATATATATATATATTTAAATATAACTTTAATTATATGAATAATTTTTAAAATTTTATTTATTAATTAATATTTTTATTAAATTAGTTAAAAAAATTAATAAATTTATGTGTTAAAATACCTAATTATAATTAATAATTTACATTTAATTGGTTAATATTTATAATTTAAATCATAACATTATAATATATTTATATATTTTAACAACATCATCCAAAAATATAATATTTAATTATAATTATTTTTATTTTAATATATAAATATTTTTTTAAGATAAGTCAATCTCATTTGTCGAATGATAAATTAAGTAAAATAGTTGATAAAATTGAACTATCAATCCATCCTTTGATAAAATTAACCTATGTTAAAAATTTTAATCTTTGTTATATTATAAAAAAATTGTTTGATAAATTTAAAATTTAACTACAATTTTAAAATCTTGATTATCGTAAACATGATTTACTTATTTTCCTTCTTCTTCTTTTTTTATCTTTTTAGTTTCTTTCTAATTATTTATTAATTGTTTTCTTTAACCATCTTTAATAAAAATCTGGTGCTAGGTTAAAAAAATTGAACAACTATAAAATTATACGGATAAGAATAAAAAAAAGAAAAGAATACTAGTATTAGTAGTTAGTGGTACCATAACTCCAGAGCATTAGTGACACACCTGTCAACGCTCATCAACATTAATCACACAGAGTCACCGATCATCACAGCCACCCAAAATCTTCACTAGAAATAAGTGTGGTACATATGGTCCAAGCATTTCAGCCTGTATCTCCAAGTAATAAAGACACCTTGCAAGTATATCTTACCAATTTTTTTTTTAAATCCGGCTCAGTTACTGAATTAGTCAATATATTCAAGGTTTAATGTTCGGATTTTATAAAATAATAATTTTATAATATAATAAATTTGTTAATAATAACATTTATTTTATATAAAAAATATTATTATCATAATCATATCAAGTTAAAATAAAGATTATAAATATAAAATATATTAAAAATAAATAATTGTTAAAATAAGATAAAAATATAATAAAATAATTATTATTTAAAATTAATTGATATGAAATGAAAAAAATTAAAATAGATTATATCTTTTATAAAAAAATTATATTAAAAAAATTTCTCTTAATTTTTTATTACCAAACCGGTTTAAAAAAAACTTAGACAGCCAATTTTTCTGATAAAATAATTATTATTTAAAAAAAAATTAATATAAGATAAAAAAAATAAAAATAGATTATATCTTTTATAATAAAATTACATTAAAAAAAATTTCTTATTTTTTCTTTTTACCAGGTTTAAAAAAAAACTTCGATAATTTGTTCAATTTTACTAGAATGATTTGTCTAGTTTTGTTCTGATTTAATTAAAATTTAGTTACGTGGAAGCAATGAATCAAGGTTCCTGATTAAACAAATCAATCTAATTTGATTTTCAAGACAATGCATGTTATAGACAATGTTTAATTAACTTCATAAGTAAGGATTACAATTAAACACGTACATATAGAGATTGATTTGTTCTCGCTTCGAGTTTTATAGAAAAAAGTTAAGTTAATCGAGTGTGGATGCAGGTTTGAATTTTTTTCACTTTAAAAGGTTAGGGATGAGAATGAATAATGCAATTCACTCCAACCCTATCCCTTGCTCTATCCTAATTTTATATTTAAATTTATATTTCAAAATATTAAATTTTCAAAATATTTTCCTTTTTTTTTTTTTCAAGAGATGAATTTTCTATTATTCATTCTTCATTTTTTGGTCTTTTATAATATCTTAATTATTGTTACATTATTATCTTCTTTTTTTTATCTTTGACATTTTCACATTTTTTTAATATCTTCTATCAATTTGGTTTCAATTTTTCAACCAACTTAATAAATATAAAATTATTTTTTCTTCCTCTTTATTTTTTTTCTAAATATTTTAGATCAATATCTGTTGTAACTAATATTATTTTGTTTTTAATTTATCTTTATTAGGTTTTACTAGTTCACATTTTCTATATTTTATTATTTTTATTTTTCATATATTAAATTTTATTATAATAAAATAATTTTATTGTGAAGGATTAAAAATAATTAATAATTAAAATTTTTATTATTTTAAATTAATTAAATAAGAATTAATTTATTAAATATTTTCTTATAAATTATATATTTCATATTTATTAACATTTTAAAATAATAATTTAAAAAATAATTAACTTATAAATACAATTAAATATTTAAATAATAATAATAATAATAATAATAATGTTACAAATATTTTATATTTATATAAAAAAATAATTAAATATTTTTTATATACATATTTTAATATAAATATAATAAAAATATATATTTAATATAATTATAAATATTTATTTATATATAAAAATATTAAAATTAATTTATTATAAATATAAATATATTTTTTTTAAATAATATAGAATGAGATCGACGGATAAACCTGAAATATAATAAAAATAGATATAGGAATTTGATCTCTATCCTAAAGAAAGATCGGAAACAGTTTAAGAAAAAAATTCGAAAATGAGATGGGGGAGGAAAAATCCATCCGTTACCATGCCTGGAAGGTCTTCACTGCTTTCGCCGGTCGGTAACGAAGATCTACAAGTGACATTCCACCCTTTTCTTTTATGACTCGCCAATATCTAAGTACTGTTATACTATCTTTAAATATTCTTTATTAAAATTATTAAAACGGACTAAAGTAAAAAAAAAAATGAATGATCTTTACGTATATTATTATATAATGAGTCAAAATTTTTAAATATAATTTAATGTTATATTAGATCAAGTTAACGAATAATTTTTATCATATTGAATTAAAAAATGTTAACATACCTATATAAAATTAATTAATTAAGAAAATATTAAAAAAAATTAAAATTAAAATTAAAATTAGTTTTTTTTAAGATATAATGATTTAATAAATTATAACATTAATATTAAAATAAGAATTAATTTTTTTAATATTATTATTTATTTATTAATAATTTATTAATTTTAAAAAATAATTAATTTTGATCATTAAATGTTAAAATAAGTGATTGTTGTATATTTATTTTAATATTTATATTTTAAGGGAATCTCTTTTATTGTGAAATTAATATATAATATATATATTTTTTAATAATATAATATTATTTTTATTTGTATTTAAAAATAATTATTATTTTATAAAATGAATTGACTCATAATTCTACGTGATAACCTAATTTAAGTCTATATTAATTATGACATAAATAGATTAAATCAAAATAGGTCTGATTTAATTTAAGCTATAAAATTTTTTAATTAGCTTAATCTATTTCTCATACATTTTAGATTAAACCTATTTATACACTCTTATTTTTTATATTGCATGTATGATAAAGAATTAGTTTGTAAGTAGATAAAATATTTTGTAATCTTTAAGAAATTTAAATACATGAATTTAATTTTCTTTTATTTTAAATAATTTAATTTTTAAAATTATTTATTTGGATAAGATAGTTTAAATTTTAATTTTTTTTGACAAAATATTTTAATTATTATTAAATATATAAATTATTATTACTAGATTTATAAATTAGGTCTAATTTAGATATTTGACATTATCTATATGGGTCAAGATGGACGGAAACAAAGTACGATAACCTAAATATGATCAAGTCAAATTGAAAAAAGATTATACAAATAAGATTGGATCTGATCGTAACAAATTTTATTAGATCGAGAATTAAGTTGAATTAGATTAACAAGATAAAATTAATCAAGTTATAATAATTTATTATGCCATAGCGAAATAAATGTGTCATATTATATCAAGATAAATTAAATTATATTATATTAAGATAATTCGAAGTATCAAATTAGTTCAACAGGTGAATTTAATAAAATCAATCAAAGTCAATAATTTATATATTTAAGCATTTTTATCAAAAAATAAAATTAATTGAAAACATTTTTTAATCCATTATTGACTAACGTCTAATATATAAGAAGCACTATTCCTTTGCTCAATTACTCAGTTGCTTCTTCTAAATTGCAGAACAAGAAACTTCAGAATCCAAAATGAGCACGATTTCTATTATTTTTCTAATTGTTCTTGCATCTTTTGTACACATATCATCTCAGGTTGGTTCAAAGGTAGAAGTGCTTCCTGGGTTTGAAGGGCCTCTTCCTTTTGAACTGGAAACAGGGTAAGCAACACCACTTTCCCTTTTCTGATTTCCACTTTATTCAATGAACTTTAAGTTAAAGGCATGAAGCAACAACAGGTATGTAGGATTGGGAGAAACAGATGATGACATGCAAGTGTTTTACTTCTTTATCAAGTCAGAGAATGACCCTGCAAAAGACCCTCTTATTCTTTGGCTTACTGGAGGTCCTGGTTGCTCTTCAATATCTGCTCTTGTCCTTCAAATAGGTAATTTTTACATTCAAACTTTCTACGTTAATTCTTATGATAACAATAGATTTGGACCGTAACATCTATTGAAAAATTGAATCAATGGGATGTAAATAGGTCCACTTGCATTTAAGATTGAAGAGTATAATGGGAGCTTGCCAAATTTGATCTTGAAGCCACAGTCCTGGACAAAGGTATAGATTTCGTTATGCATCCTCAACCATTTGATCTTCATTTCATTTGACAAAGTTAAATTTATAAGACTAATAGTTACTTTTGTTCTTGTTCTTGTTAAATGATCCATTTCAATGTTTTCTTTTGACAGGCATCTAGCATTATTTTCGTAGATTTGCCCTTAGGATCTGGTTTCTCATATGCCAAAAATGTCACCGCTCACAGGAGTGACTGGAAATTAGTTCACCATACCCATCAATTTCTTAGGAAGGTACACTTATTGCAAACAGACACTTTTCCTCTTTCTCTTTCTTTCTGTTTATAGCTCTCCTTCTCCATAGCATTCTAAAAACAAGCTGTCATAATTTTGATCATGCTTTCTTTCCTCAACTACGATCTTCGTATGGTAATCTTTTGCAGTGGCTGATCGATCACCCAGATTTTATTTCCAATGAATTTTACATGGGAGGTGATTCATATTCTGGCATACCTTCCCCTGCCATTGTTCAAGAAATTTCAAAGGGTATGTAAGTTAAAATTGCTTAATTTATAAGACTAATCCATTACTCAATTAATGGTTATTGTCTTTAAAATTGACACTAAAGGTTTCTTAATATTCTAATTAATACTCTAACACTAATAATTATTTGACTCTTTTGGTAGTAGAAATTCACAAAACAAAAAATTTCAAGATTTGATGAACTTATCAAATTTCTTCACTCATTTTACCCAAAAAATTACTTAATTCAGTTATAATTAGTAAAATTAAAATCTTCGTGTTAAGTAGAAGAAAATTCATATATGAAGTAGTGTTAAATAGTAGATTTTCTCTAGTATACCAGAATAAACTAAAGTGGTATAAGAAACAACTAACTTTATTGAACTTTGAAAAAAAAAAAAACAGTTAAAAAATAAATAAAACCGAAGTTGTTGATGACTTTTTTTTAAGGGTTAAAAAAATTATTTGTACTAAAATAATCAGTTTTTTCGATTTTATATATTCTAATTTTATATCAAGTAATAAATCGATTTTTACATCAATTTTTTATTGAATTATTTATTTCGTTCCGATTTAAAAACAAAATAGTATATATTATAGAAGATAAAAAAGAAATAATAAATTAGGTTTGTTGTTAATAATCTAGAATATATATATATATATATATATATATATATATATATATATATATATATATATAATACTTAGAATATGAAGAAAGGAGTTAAAGAAGATAAAGATGTGAACGGTTGAAGATAAAAAAACTAATTAACACATTACATCTACCTGTTTTAGTTGTAAACTAATAAATTTGAAATTTCACGAAAAAGAAAATTTTCTCATAATAATAAATATAATTTTATAGGATTTAATTAGATATCTCGTGAGTCAATTTTAGTAATATTATGACATATGATATAGTAAAAAAGAAAATTCTATTCTTCCGTGTGAAAAAAATTAAAAATATAATAATATATAAGTACGTATATTCCTTACCATTTTTAAACAATTTCGTTATTTGTCTCATTTATATTATGCTTTCTTTTGTTTCAGGTTAATCCTTTTTCTTTGCTTTAGTTTTATTAGTATTTTATATTCACTTGTCTCGTTTAAATTAACATATGGAAGTATATAAATTTAGTTTTAAAAATCATATTGTTATAGATCTCTTTATATTGTTCTTTAATAATTTCTAAAGCAAATTACTCATAAGTCCTTCGTTAATTTCAATTTCATTAAAAATAATTTTAGATAATAAATTAGGTTTCTACAAACTTTAAAATTGCATTGTTTCTCCAAATAAGTCATTTTATTTTATTTTCACAATTAAAATAAGTTTCTTAATTTAAACTACGAAAATTTGGTTGTTTGCTTTAGATGTTTTTTTCTGCAATTTTGCATCACAAAGCTTATAGAAAAAAAATTAAGTTCTATTTTTACAGGATTAGGTATAATAACAAAGTTTTAATTAACATAAATATTAAAATAAATAATTTTAGTCATGGATTTTTTACTAAAATATCTTATTCTATGTAATCTATTCAACTTATAGGTACAACAATTAAAAATCATAAAATGACTATTTTAATAAAAAAAATCACAAATCGTATTTATTTTAATTTATATAAATTTATAAATTTTATTATAAAAAAAAAACTTTAAATCAATGGAGAGAACTAAATTGGGTGTAGATGCTTCACAAGAAAGGGAGTTGAAGTGATAGAATTAAATAAATTTATTTAAGTTCTTTAAAGACATTTTATATTTTTCTCCATTGCATTAGGATCAATTGGAGATATACATTGTAGTTTTATTATTTTGTTTTTATTTATCGTTTTTGAAAACCCTATAAACAAAGGTATTGTGATTGAAGAAGTATTTATGCTAGTAATAATGAAATATAATTATTTGGTTATATAGAAGTGAGGAAGAACATATTAAAATATGCATTTCATATTGGTAGTGTACACTAACATGCTTCAATAAGCAAAATATATCAAGCAACTAGTTATGCAACCTAGATATTATAATTGGGAAGAATTTTTAAAATAATATGTTAGAAAAAAATATTCTCACGATGATATTTTGCGAAAATAAATTTGTAATTGCATTATAAAAAAATCTACTATTCCAAGGGTAGTCCAAACACATTGATAAAACATATTGTAGCACAAATTATTTATTTTCTATAAAAAATAGTTATTTTCTCCAACTATTTTTAGTTCAATAGTTAGACTTTTTTCATAAATAATACTATTTTTAAAAATATTTCCCAAAATAGCACATTTGGAACATTATTTACCCAACTAGCACTCTTTCATTGTTTACGTATTAAAATAATCGATTATTTTAGATTATGATCGATTATTTCACGTAGATCAACTCTCGCTCAAGCGAGGAGAGCCGTGATAAATAGTTAATATTGAGTTATATTTCACTCAAACGACGAGTACTTTCGCTTGAACGATAAGCTGATTGAAATATCTGGTGACCCAAGTTGCATTATGTGGCTAAGCTGCGTGAGACATTTAGCCTGTGATCATTTCTCGCTCAAGCGATGGGTAATTTCGCTCGAGCGAGAATGGATTGGCTAATTGTGTTGGACTGTGGTCAATTCTCGCTCAAGCGAGAGATCCATTGCTTGAGCGAAGAATTATATAATTGATTATAATTTAAACTAATCAATCATAATTTTAAAATAATCGAATATAGAAAATTGTGATTGATTATTTCTCTCTCGCTCAAGCAAGAAACCCTTCGCTTGAGCGAGGAGACCTGAAACTAATGGATAATCTCGGGTCAATGCTCGCTCAAGCGATGTGTACTTTCGCTTGAGCGAGAAGTGATTGAAATATATGGTGATCCATGTTGCATTATGTGGCTAACTGTGTTGGTCGTTTAGCCTGTGGTCAATTCTCGCTTAAGCGATGAGTTATTTTGCTCAAGCGAGAATTGACCACAAGCTAGCAAAAAGTTCCTTAAGTTATTTTAATCGATTATTTCGATTTTACATCGATTAAAACAGTTAGCAAAAAGTTCCTTAAGTTGTTTTAATCGATTATTTCGATTTTACATTGATTAAAACAGTTAGCAAAAAGTTCCTTAAGTTGTTTTAATCGATTATTTCGATTTTACATCGATTAAAACAGTTAGCAAAAAGTTCCTTAAGTTGTTTTAATCGATTATTTCGATTTTACATCGATTAAAACAATTAGCAAAAAGTTCCTTAAGTAGCCTTTGACTTCATCATATTAGCCTTTAACTTTATCAAATCTACAAGATCTTCGTTTTATCAAATGATTCAATAAGATCTTCATCACTTTCAATTAATTGAAAAACTCCTAAGTTTCATACATTGAGACATTTCTTAACTAACACAATCTAATGATACGAAGTAGATGCACGTGCAACATTCGGGCATGTTCTTCTGGTATGACTCGGGGTATGACAATATGAACAATTTTTAATCCTACTTTGATTTTCTGTAATATCCATCTCAGTTCTTATACGACTTGATTTTGGTCGGCCCTTTGAAATTCTTTTCATTTCTGGATTTGCACACAAAGTAGGTCTTGTGTATGATGACCAATATTCTTCATTTCGCAATAACCCAAATTGTGTTTCGTATACCTTTGAAACTTGTTGTAAGGTATACACTAAATGAATGTAGTTATTGAAGTCATGATGTGCATGCTTGCATGCAGCAAGAACATGTGAATAAGGCATGTGAAATTTCTAGAATTTTCGACAGTCACATCACAACTCATCAAGGCGAACTGCAAATTTCCCTGTTGATCGAACTTCACACAGGTTTTGTGTTTCTTCTACTACAAATTTTGTGGTATACCTGTCAAATGTTATGACCCTATGCGTGTTTTCCTATGTTTGTGTTTTCTCTAAACTTGTGATCAAAATTTCAGAGTATACATGATCAGCATTGATCATGACATTTATCTGCCTCCCTCTTTCAATGAAAAATTTGTTGCAGCGGGTGTATGTTGCGTTGACCATGGAGCAAATAGGTAGATTTCTTGCTTTTTTCAAAACAGAGTTGATAGACTCTACTATGTTGATCGTCATGTGGCCCCAATAAGGTACCTATATATTTTCCGTACAAAAAAGTTTCATCCACTTGAACAATGGGCTTGTAGTGAACAAATCCATCTATACATGACCTAAACGACCAAAACACACACTTAAAAATATTTGAATTTTGTTCAAGGACTTCACCTTGGTAATCTGGTTGTGACTGCAGTTTGTAGATGAATCCAGGAACAAATTGTTGCATGGCTTGTAACAAACAAGACAACTTCTTATACGAATCCTCCCAATTGCCGTAGATGGTCTCCACTGCCTTTTGTTTGGCCAACTGGGCCTTCCTGTACGTTATAGTGTAACCCGTTGTTAATTGAATGTGGGCTATGATTGTGGAGATTGGTCTTGACGAATCAACATCAATTATTTGACCAATTGTTTGAGAAATAATTTTATATCCCAACTTGTTGTGGTCTTGGCTGATTAATGGTGAAACGCATGTATGGTGCCCTTCAAGCTTCATAATCTCACAATATTGCTCTCTTGTGCGCAATATTGCTCGACATCTCTAATTAAATTGGTTATCAACACATTCAACAACATATTTGCTTTGGTTTGAAATTTTCACCTTGTATGAGCAGTGATTGACAATGTGAAAGTGGTTGATGGCATCTTGAACTTGTTCTTTTGTTATGAAACGTTGTCCAAGAAATAGAGTTCCTACTGGAGAAACAAAAGACTCTTTGTCCAACGCATGACCATACTCTGGGTCTTGTTGTTCAATGTGACTTTCAAAGTTAAGAAAATGTTGTGGTGGGTTTTATGGTTCCATGAAGTTTGGTGCATGTGTAGGGATATGTGGTTGTTCGTCCTCTGAATCATCTTGGTGTTGGCTGAGAATTTCATCTTCGTCTTCATCCTCACTAAAAGGATCAATGACTTCAATTAGGAGGCCAACAATTTCGTTCTCTTGTGTGGGTAGTTCTTCGTTGATATTGGTGGAAGACCCACTTAGAAGTTGGATAAAAGGGATGTAGTCATTATGTGTGGGTATTTCTGGGTCAGGTTGGGAAAGCTTGGTAGGGTGAGGGTGAGATTTTAGGTGAGTGTGTGTTAGGGTATGAAGAAGAAGAAGTTGTAAATGTAACAAAAATTTAAATACCACATAGACTTCAGTTTGAATCATGAATATCGAACATGACATTCATGTCGTCATCATCTTTCAACTCAACAGCAATGAAGTTGTTGATCCCAACTTCGAGTCTAGTTGGGCAGCGAAATAGATGGTTGCTACATTTTTGTGGGGTTCTTTCTCCAATTTCCTGTGGATCAACTTCTTCAACCTTTGTAGAGAAATTTCTCTCTTTAAAGGAACAAGTTTTGCAGTCCTAGTATTGAAGGTAACTCCCTCCATGGGACATGGGTTCATGGAACCATCATAGTGGACAATAGTAGACACTACACCCATTTTAGGAGTGTGGAACAAAAAGAAGACTAAAGGTAAGAAGAAGAAATAATGCAAAGTAGCTTCAGAGATTTAGGAGTGTGCAATGTGAGAACTTCAAAGAATGAAAGTGGTATATTTATAATGAAGTCCAATGGTATGAATCCAAGGCTCCCTCACATGGTTTCTAACGCACACAAAACCCAAGCAAAGTGGGTGGGTCAACATCTCTTTAAATGTGATTGGATTCTTCTGCTTTTGTCTAACCCAATGAAGGGAATCCAAGATTGGAATCCTGACTTGGGTGAGTGACTCAACATTGGATTCCTTACTTATGTGCATCAGAAAGACATGAGAATCCTGACTTTGGTGGGTGACTTAGCATTGTAAATAGTTGCAGGTTTCCTCGCTCAAGCGATGAGTTTCTTGCTTGAGCGAGAGTTAACCACAGGCTAAAGCTCCAACGCAGTTAGCCACAAAATGCAACTTGGGTCACTACATATTTCAATCACTTCTCGCTCGAGCGAAATTAGTCATCGCTTAGCGAAAAAACACCCGAGACTACCCTTTAGTTTCAGTTCTTCTCGCTCAAGCGAAAGGTTTTTCGCTTGAGCGAGAGATAAAATAATCGATCATAATTTTATATATTCGATTATTTTAAAATTATGATCAATTAGTTCAAATTATAATCGATTATAAATTTCTTCGCACAAGCGATGGATGTCTCACTTGAGCGAGAATTGACCACGGTCCAACGCAGTTACCCAATCAATTCTCGCTCGAGTGAAATAACTCATCGCTTAAGCGAGAATTGACCACAGGTTAAACGTCCAACGCAGTTAGCCACATAATGCAACCTGGGTCACCACATATTTCAATCACTTCTCGTTCAAGTGAAAGTACACATCGCTTGAGCGAACATTGACCCGAGATTACCATTAGTTTCAGGTCTTCTCATTCAAGCGAAGGGTTTCTCGCTTGAGCGAGAGAGAAATAATCGATCATAATTTTCTATATTCGATTATTTTAAAATTATGATCGATTAGTTTAAATTATAATCGATTATATAATTCTTCGCTCAAGCGATGGATGTCTCGTTTGAGCGAGAATTGACCACGGTCCAATGCAGTTAGCCAATCAATTCTCGCTCGAGCGAAATTATTCATCGCTTGAACGAGAAATGACCATAGGCTAAACGTCTCACGCAGTTAGCCACATAATGCAACTTGGATCACCACATATTTCAACCACTTCTCGCTCAAGCGAAAGTACTTGTTGCTTGAGCGAAATATAACTTGATATTAACCATTTGTTACAGCTCTCCTCGCTCAAACGATAGATTTCTCGCTTGAGCGAGAGTTGATATGCGCGAAATAACCGATCATAATCTAAAATTATCGATTATTTTAATTTGTGAACGATAAAAAGTGTTAGTTGGGTAAATAATGTTCCGGATGTGCTATTTTGGAAAATATTTTTAAAAATAGTATTATTTATAAAAAATAGTTATTATAACACATTTTAATATATTTTTATTAAACTTTATGAGGTAATTATATTAAATTTTGAGTTTAGGCATCAATTTTATTTAAAAAAATATTTTTGTTTCAAGTTCTTTAAAATATATTATATGTAAAAAACTCATAAATTTATTTTACAAATTAAAGACATTTCTTTTACAAGATTATTATATATACATAATATGTCTCACCTTACGTTCAACTAACTTAAAATATTTGACATACATTACGTGTATTTATGAAAGCTTACAAATCTTATTTGATTTTCTTGATTAGCAGGGAATGAAATAGGTCTACAACCTCGAATAAATCTCAAGGTATAGTAGACAAAATAAAATTTAGAGAGTTTTGATACATAATTCAATTTTCAATACTTTAAATAGTTGAAGCAAACTTTTCACTTTTTCATAATTGTAATTTATCATTTTATTTATTTATTTTGAAGTTTAAATTGATCTTAAGATATTTCCAGGGATATCTACTGGGAAACCCTGCAACAACAGGAAAGGAAGGAAATTACCAAATCCCATTTGCTCATGCAATGGGACTTATTTCCGACGAACTTTATGCGGTGATAACAATAATTTTTTTTATGCTTATAATGCCACTTGCATTATAATATTTACCAATTTTGTATTTTATAAAAAAATATTTTGGTTCTCACTTATGTTTAATCAACAATTACGTAGTTTCTTTAAAAAATGTTAATGCAAATGACAATAATTTTTACTCATCTATTATCTATGAACAGTCATTGGAGAAAAATTGTAAAGGAGAATTTGTATCTCAAGATTCTAGAAGTGAATCGTGCACAAGTGATCTCAATTACTATCAAGAGGCAAGTAATGATCATCTTAGTTTCTGATAACCCCTTTTGCTTTTATTATTTATATGAGTTGAGATTATTCACCATAATAAATATTATTTATATTTTCAGTGTCTTTCAAGAATTGATACATACTACATTTTGGATAGCTATTTTTGCAAAGAAGACACTCTTAAGAAGAATGGAGATATGTGGAGGAGATCTCTGACCCAAAAATTTGAGTCATCTCTTAATTATCAACTTGTACCTGACAAAAGATGCAAAGTAATTCCTACGTAATGTGTACTCTCACTTTATTTTGTCTTGTTTTAAATATGATTTTCTCATTTTTCGTTATTGCAGACATATACTTTTTTTCTTTTAACTCAATGGGCCAACGATGAGAGTGTTCGCAAAGCACTACACCTTCGAGAGGTTTGATATAATGCGTATACTTCATTATGTTTAATAGATTGTTAACTCCACAAACCACCACATATTAGAGAGTTATATGTACCTTGGTAAATGTACTACAGGGAACTACAGGCAGGTGGCAACGATGTAATTCCCATGGTTATGAGTATGAAATTTCTAGTAGCTTCGAGTTTCATGTTAATCTTAGTGCTAAAGGATATCGTTCTTTAATATATAGGTGAAGTGTTTCTTATCAAATATTTTATTTTTTGTTTAGGAAACTTTTGCTTTCGTATGATAAGTTTCTAAAGAATGTTTACAACTATATGATTTCTTATGGAAATTGGTATTTTTTGTTTTTTTTACAGTGGGGACCATGATGCTGCTGTTTCTTTCATGTCGACTCAAGCATGGATCAGAGCTCTAAACTACTCCATTGTAGACGATTGGAGGCCATGGCTTCTAGAAGGACAAGTTGCAGGGTAAGAATGAAACGTTAACCTTCTAGAAGGACAATTTAGGGTTTTACTTTTATTAACAAGAATATCCTCTGGTATAGCATGTGTCTAATATTTGTAAATAATTTGCATTTCATACAGATACACAAGGACATACTCTAATCAAATGACATTTGCAACTGTAAAGGTAAGATAAGAATATTTCGTTTAGATATTACAACTTCTCTTTTTTTTTTCTTTTTTTTTTTTTTAAAGAAATCTACATAATATTTACCTTTGTAATTAATTGTAGGGTTCAGGACACACCGCTTCTGTATTCAAGCCTGATGAATGTTTAGCCATGTTTACTAGGTGGATAACTAATAAGTCTTTGTAATTTCTGAATGGGATTATATATCCTCTTCTTCTGTTTGTAATTCCTATGCATGCAATAAAAGCAACGTTGAACATTTGCTTTAAAAAATATATAATATCGATTTTTAATTATTATTGAGAAAAGAGACAAGGTTGATAAGATTTAATATTATTTATGAATCGATGTTATTTAGTAAATATATTGTTTATTTTAGTAATATTGCCCACTTTCTAAAAAAAAATACCATTTGAAATATTATTTTAAAACCATCTACTATAAAGTATTATTAAATTATCAAAATTTCAAATTAATAATAATATTCATCTATAATAATATAGATAGAACTGTCAAAATGGGTGACCAGACCTAATTTATTCTAGCCCTACAGGTGAAGTAAAAGATTTGATAGTTCAGTCTAGTCTATATTTTAAATGGATAAAAAAATTTTAGTCTAGTTTGATTTTATGTTAGGTCAACCGATTAACCAATTAATTTTGACATGATTGAATTAAAAAAATTAATGACATATCTATCCAAAATCGATTGATTAAAAAAATATTTAAATAAAAATAAAAATTAGAAATATATTTTAAAAATTTAAATTTTATTAATGAAATTAGTTGTTGTTTAAGATATAATGATTCAATATATAAATTATAAAAAAAATACATCATACAATCTCAAAATAAGAATTAAAAATTTATTATTTATTTTTATAATTTATTAGTTTAAAATAATAATTAATCTTAATCATACATCTTCAAATAAATGATCATTACATATTTATTCTGATATTTATTTTAAAAACAAGTGTCAAATTAATTTATATATATATATATATATATATATATATATATATATATTAATAAAATACTATTATTTTTATTTAAAAAAATATTATTATTCTATAAAAAGGACCGATCTACAAGTTCACATATTATTTTCATCTAAGCTTATATAGATTATGATCTAAACGAGTCAAGTCAAAATATGTTTAATTCACATATTTTTCGGACTTTTCAAACCAACCTATTAGGTGAAGCCTATTTTGACTCCTAAATATAGATATAAATTATTCTCTCACCACATTATATATTTTATCATCACATTTTTATTAAAATAGGACATTAATTTAATTTTTAAAAAAATATTAGACCATCGTATCTATTATATTGATCACATATAATCAATAAATTCATTCAAGACATTCAAATAATGTTTCTCATATACACAATTAGATCCATAATCAAGTATGCATTATGCATTTAATTTCACAACATATGCTCTTTGCATATAATCCATAATATTGATCATAATCGTTTTAATATCCAAGGATGGATCTCCAAATATGTCTCTATAATCAATATTGATCTTAAATTATTATGGAATAATTGTCCATTCAAAATACATACTAGAAAGACATGTGCATACCTAGTTCATTGATAACAAGAGTAATTGAAGTGTCAATATTACTGTGTACTATCAATATCATCCTTTAAGAATATGAATGACGCTAATATTATAATTTTCACATATTTGCTATCCTTTTAGTAACACATGCTTAACATTTTCATCTCATTATCATCTCGATCCAAATTTCAATTCTCAAATACATTAGTCATATTTGTATAGTATAATGACAATCTCAATTATATTTTTCATCATATTATTACAATCTTAACCATATTTATATTATATAATCAAATGTCAATTATATTCTTATCGTTTTAATTATGTAATAACAATACCAATTATGATATTATAACAATTTCAAATATTTTATTAATCATTTAACACTATGTCATGATGTTCAAACAAATTGTTCAATAAAAGTCTATCATTTGTGCTCATGTGCATTCATTTCAGCACATATATAAATCAATTAATTATAATAATTCATTCAAACATAGTAAATTTTAAAAATAAATCTTTAATTAAGTATTGGACATTCAAAGTTGACAAGCATTAGATGAACTAGTTTATAAAATAGACCATACGAGTTAGTGATGTTGTAGGCTAGACAAGGCAACTAAATAAATTAGCCATGGTATAGGCCGGACAAGATAAACTGACAAGTTAGTCATGGTATTGGCCAGACAAATATGGACCAAATGAGCTAACCACTAAATAGGTTAGACAAGTTTCATAACTTATTCACTTAATTTAAGTATAGCTTCACTTATTAACTAAAAGTTTAGAATACAAATGTAAATTTTCCATAAATGAGGAGTGAGCCTATTGTTGTATTTGTAAGCTTGTAATACAAAAAACTATGGGAGTGAAAAATCAAGGCAAGTTGCCTCATATTTATACAAGTAGTTGGCTACGGTTGGAGAAGATCAAAATCTTCTTCACATTTAACGCACTATTATGATGAGATGAGAAAAAAGAATTTCTTCCCCTTTCTTAATGAATTGTGGGGGAAATGGACTTGAGTTGAAAGAAGTTTTGAACTTTTGTTTAATAATTCTATTTTTTACTTATTACAGCTATAATATTTTTATTTAAGGATTAAACTTCTTCAAATTTTATAGTTTTTTTAACTTACTTAATGTTTATCTGGTTCATGGCCACATTCGAGTTCTTCGTCTTTTTTCTTGAGAGTCTTGTAATTTCTTTTTAAGACATTTTCGGTCTTTTTATTCTTAAGGCATATTTGTTATAATATTTTTTGCATCTTAAACAATTTTTTGTCAAAAAACTGTTACTTTTAGGAGTCTTATTTCAACAAGGATAAAATTGTGGTTGCTAATTACTCAAAAAAATTTCGAACAATGATATTAGTAGTTGATTGATGGATTCTCCTATTAGACCTCTTATACTTCTCCCCTCTTCGTGGGTACTTCAACAATTTGAATCTTCTCATTCACTTCATATTCTTTCAAATAATGTCAAACTTCTCTAAGTGACTTTAGGATTTTGATTTTGTTGATGATTATTGGAGATCAACACTATTAATTAGAATAATTCAATTATGATAGGATTTAACGATAATATAATCAGTTCTATTTCATTTATGTACAATATTTATAAGGAGAATATTTCCCTAATTTTCAGGGGATAGATTAGTATATAGGTTTATTATCTTGTATTCTATTTATACCTTCTTTGTAAATAAAAAATACACAATGTATTTTCCGCATGGTATTAGAGCTCGATCTGGACTATCCCTAACCTAGCACAACCAACCATGAAAGAGAATAAGGTAGGAGGTTTGACCACCAGTTTGGTCAAAGGGTCTGCTCTTCCTATCACTGGTCACAAATTGAATGGTCAAAATTACCCTCAATAGGTGTGTTTAGTTAAAATCTTCCTTCAAGGAAAAGGGAAGGAAGGTTACATCACCGTCCAGTAGAGGGTGACTCTAACCTCAACAAATGGCAACTAGAAAATAGTTTAGTCATGTCATGGTTACTCAACACCATGACCAATGAAATTGGGGAGAATTTCATGTACTATGACACTGCCAAGGAGATGTGGAATGCAGTAAAGGAAACCTACTCAAATATGGACAATATGTCTGCGTATTTAAGATCAAGAGCATACTCCATGAACTACGACAAGGTAATTTCTCAGTCACTGAGTATTTTAATACACTCAGCCGATATTGACAGTAATTAGACATATATGAAGATATTCAATGAAGTTGTGTCGAGGATAAAAAGAAGTATAAATAATTGGTGGAGAAAGATAGTATCTACAAGTTCCTATTGGGGCTGAACACAGAACTTGATGAAGTCCGAGTGAGAATCCTTGGAACCAAACTTCTTAAAACAATCTGAGAAGTATTTTCGAAAGTGAGAAGGGAGGAGAGCAGGAGGAAAGTAATGCTTGGAAAGTCAAGTGCAACCTCACCTATTGAAGGCACAACAAAGGCACAAAGACAAAATCGGCTCTGGTGCAAGAAATTGGGACACACTATGGACGCTTGCTGAATTATTCATGGCAAGCCTTCAAAGAAAAATCAGATAAAAAACCTAGACAATAGAGGTAAATTCTAATCCATCTCCATCATTCAACAAGGAGCAAATGAAAGCACTAAAGTAAATCCTCCAACAAACAATTAGTACAACTGCAGTAGCACAAAAAGGTAATTTCTTGCATGTTTTAAATACTAGCACAGGAAAATCAAAGTCATGAATCATTGATTCAAGAGCCTCAGATCACATGACTGGAGACTTAACTGTGTTTAAATGTTATACTCCTTGCTACAATAATCACATAGTTTCGATAGCTAATGAGACTCTTTCTAAAATCATAGGTAAATGTTCAGTTATTATCTCACAAAATATTAACTTGTAGTCCATCCTTTATCTGTCTAAACTTGACTGTAATTGACTGTTTATTAGCAAACTGACAAAAGATTTGAAGTGTGTCACTAAATTCTTCCCTAACCTATGTGAATTTTAGATTTTGGAGACGGGGGAGATGATTGAAATTGCTAAAGAATGTGCTGGACTTTACTGCATCCAAACTGAAGTGTCAGAGGCAGAACCCAAGGCTAACTCTTGTGCTATGGTACCTAAAACTAAAAATTCTGTAATGTTGTGGCACTATCAGTTTAGCCACCCAAATTTTATGTACGTAAAAAGAATATTTCCCACATTATTTAATAAAAATCAAGAGTTGTTTTAATGTGAAATATGTCAATTATCCACACATACCCGCAACTCATACCCGCCTCAACCCTATAAACCCTCTTAACCTTTCTCTCTAATTCACAGGATATATGGGGACCATCACGAGTAAACAATGTCATAGGATCAAGATGATTTGTCACCTTCATAGACAATCACACACGAGTCACTTAGGTGTTCCTAATGAAGGAGAAATCAGAAGTTGGCAGAATATTTGAATTTTTTCATACTATGGTAAAAATGCAATTTCAAAGTAGGATTAAGATACTTAGGAGTGATAATGGCCGAGAGTATTACCACTCTTCACTAAGTCTCTACCTTTAGAGACATAGAATCATACATCAGAGTTCAAGTGTAGATACCCCTCAGCAAAATGGGATCGTCGAGAGAAAGAATAGACATCTCTTATAAGTGACCAAATCTCTCATGTTGACTACAAATGTACCCAACCAATTTTAGGGAGAAATTATTCTCTCTGTAACCTACCTCATAAATAGAATGTCTTCCCGAATCTTCAACTTTAGAACACCTCACTCTACTCTCTAAATCGAATGTCATCCAATTAATGAAAAGAATTAGAAAATTTCCCTTTGTTGTATAAGTGATATTACTTAAATGATTTAATGACATGTCACATACTTTGTAATAAAATGCACTTGTCTTCATCTTTCAACATGTCACATTTCATTTTTCTAGATTGACAAATTGCAAAGTTATAAAAGATGGTGATTACTAAGTAAATGATAAATTAAATAGCGAACAAGTTATGAAAGATCATCTTAATTAGAGGTTGAACATAATGACATGTGCAACAATACAAAATATCAATCCTAAAATGCTATATGTAACATATTGAAATAAAAATGGTCAAACACAAAAACATTGTACAATATCATAAAGAAGATTATGATGAAGCTTATTCAAGAAGATTATGAAGCTTGTTCAAGAAAATTATGAAACATTATTCTCCTCTAATATGTATTATTGACATTAAATATCACCATGTATCTTGTCATCCAAATTTTCATCTAGTTGTTCTCATGTATTTTGTTAATAATCATGTCCAAAACTTCAACCGTATCTCATTCAATGTGAATATCATTACTTGGAACATTTTAAGTAATATTTTTTTTAACTTTTCCTTTAACCTTGTAGACTACTTTAGTTAGTATTCTCATTCTCTGCTCTACTTGAGAATATGAAGTTAAGGACTGGTGTTGCATTCATAAATTATATCAAAACATATATTGCTCTAATACCCACACTTTACCCATATACTTCAAAATTTGAGTGGGATTATATAATGTTCTAATCATGTTTGAACAAAGAGAAAATAACTAATAGTAATTGTGCTCCATGAATGTTATTGATTATATGTTCTCATGTAAAAAAAAAAAACAATAATTTCTTATTATGTTATATTTATAGGAATATTGTAGTGGGGCATGTATATTGGTTTGAAGCAATCCAATGATATCCACGATAGATATGTTAAAAGGCTTAAGGAATTACTATTCATATGAGACCTTGAGTGATTTTTGTTACATAGTAGTTGAGTAATTGACACTACTACGTAATATGTTTTTCATGTCGGTTCTCAGATGAACTGACGTGGAAAGTCTTTTTATTGACGCATTCAACGTTGATTCTGATTGTAACCGATGTAGATTTTTTTTTTCAGCCGAAAATTCGTTTAGGTTAGAGAATTGTCACTAGCAAGATTCAAACTCATATATCTTAGAGTTAGAGGTTGATATCACTAAACTACTAGAATTTTTTGATAATAATTTAAAAATAAATTATATTTATATATAAATAAATATATATTTGTGTAAATATATAAATATAAAATATATAAATACAAATATATTTATATATTTTGATATATTTATATATATTTATATAGTTATATATTTATATTTTGGATGTGAAGGTACGCTTCGAGGGTGAAAGTGAGATTGACTCTAACGAAAATAAGCTCACGAAAATTCACTCGCTCAAGCGAAAATATCTTGCTTGAGCGAAAATTGATATTTTTCGCTTGAGCGAATGGTGCGTTTTCCAAATTTATTTTATATCATTATATAAATAAATTATAAAGATTATATTTTGTCATTAAATTACAAACTCATATAAAGAGACACGTTTACAAATTTGACATCAAATTTTGAAAACCCACTCGATACACATTTTCACCTTCGAGCGTGCCCTCACATCCAACATATAAATATGTAACTATATAAATATATCAAAATATATAAATATATTTGTATTTATATATTTTATATTTATATATTTACAAGGATATATATTTATTTGTATATAATTATAATTTATATGTAAGTTATTATTAGAAAATTATAGTAGTTTAGTGGTTGAAGTATCAATTTTTAATTCTAAAATATTGAGTTCGAATTTTGTTAGTGATAATTTAAAAAAAATTAATTTTATTAATTTGGTAATGATTTAAACTTCTAAAAAATATAATAAATAATAAAAAATTTCTTAAAAAATTAATTTTATTAATTTAGTAATGATTTAAACTTTTAAAAATATAATAAATAATAAAAATATAATATAAAAAAGAAGAGTTCGAGTGACAATTTTCTTAAAAAATTAATTTTATTAATTTGATAATGATTTAAACTTCTAAAAATATAATAAATAATAAAAATATAATATAGAAAAGAAAATAAACGAAGAATTTTAAATAAATAAAAATTATTAATCTCAACAAATTTAGACTTTCATTTTCAACGTCAGCCTATCCAATAGGACTACCACATTTCATAATTATGCATGTGTTATAACTTACAATTTCAAGTTCAATCACGTAACTTTTTGTAGGCTTACGTATATATTTTCAATGAACCAGCCTCATTTTCTCCCTCAAGGAAAGAACATGATCCTAGAATACATTTTGTTGAGGGAGTATATCTTACGAATAAGAGACCCTACATTTATGTCTAAACATAAAAAAGATATCATTATTAACTTGTACATGATTTTCTATAATATGAGATTATTTAAAAGTACAACAACTATTATATTATTATGATTATTTTAGTTCTGAATAACTTTGATTATCAAAAATTAAAAACCTATTAATGATAAATTTCATATTTTTTTACTAGGTCCTTTTTTTTTTTTTATAAGTTGTATAATTTAACTATTTTCTCCTAAATTGACTTTCATTTTGAGTATAACCAAATGAGAATGAGAATGAATTAATTGAAATATATAAAAATGTTTTTAAGACTTATGAAATCACTTTAATATTAGATAATGTTATTTAATCTTACAAATATTCTTATTACCATTCATGAATTCTATTTTTTTTTCAGAAAATTTCTTTTAATTTTTTTATGACTTCCTAATTTATACTAAAAATTTGACAAATCACATTATTCATTTAAAATGTGTTATACCAACCATAATAAAATTATAATTTTAAAATTTAAAAAAAATATGGATTTTTTTGGTCTCGTGAGATTTGTCGTGAGGTTGTGAAAGATATAAAATTTTCATATTTATTTTTAAAATAGATATTTCTTAAATAAATATATATATAAAATATTATTAAAGATATTTTCAGTGTCTGAAAAAAAGTAAAATACGTATTTTAATAATTGCTTTGTTTAAGTTTTATATAACTAAATAAAAAAATTCACTCTTTTGAAGTACTAAATTATCAGCACTTCCAAAATTGTACATTTACACCCCCTCCCACTTTTTTTTTTGTTAAAGATTCGCTGTTCAACACATCTACAAGCTTCTATATTCCCCTTTCTCCAGTTACACTCTACCGATCGAATTATGGCAGATTCGTCTCGGAGAACCGTGCTTGTAACCGGATCTGGTGGCCGCACAGGTGCTCTTTTCCCCTTACGTTTTCATGCTTATTTTTTCTTATTTTAATTGGTTCAGTGATTTGACTGCACTATAGGAATCTGTAATTTTGATTGCTGTGAATTTTGTTAGAGATGGTTCATAGAGGAGCAAGGCGTGTGATTATTTGTTTGGGGTTTGTAATTGAAAATCTGAAAAAGCCCTTAGAATGTTCCTGAAGGCTTCTCATTTCCTTCCACCTTTTCCTCCAGTGAAAGCACCAGTTTTCACCGGAAACAACAATATTTTACTTCGAAAAGTAAATTGATCTTTAGTTAGTTAAATTTAAAATTGTTTTTTTAGTTCGAAATAAGCTTATTTTAGTATTGTTACTAAAATTAACAACGCAAAGGGGGTTTAAATTAACAACCCGTTTTTCATTTCTCGCCGTAAATAGGTTTCAAGCCACAGTTAAATATTTCCCTTGGTGACTGATAATTATAAGTCATGTACATGAGATAATATTTTATTTGTATTTTTACCATGGATTTTTTTTTTTTTTTCTTTGAAGTATTCATTTTAGCAGTTTTGACCTAAAAGACATTTGAACAGGGAAAGTAAACCAAGATTTTTCATATTATGTGATTGAAAAATAATTTTAAATTTAAATGAACAATAATAAACTTGAAGTAAATACGTGGGATTAAAGATCACGGTGATTGCCCTAGCTACTAGCTAATATTTGGTACATTAAAAATTTCACCAGCTGCACAAAGCATGACCTTTGCTTTTCAAATGCTTATAACTACACGTTTTAATGATTTTATTTGAAATGTGGAGGAGGGTTGCAGGTTTTCATTTGATTTCATTTTGATGTACGGGTGGGCTTTGGGTCTGCTTAAGGTAGAATATTAAATACTATTGTCCTTGTTTCAAGTAGTTAAGGTTGTTAGTTAACATTGGCTTAATAATGAAGAAAAAATTCATTGAATCATGGTTTTTGCTGGACTCACTCACAACTCATGTATTTAAAACATCAATTCTCGACTTTGATTCAAGGACACTTCTCATAGGAATAACTCAAATTGTTTATCACATAAAAAAATGTAAAGCATGAATTTATTATGTCACATCATAGTTAAACAACTTACATTTAATTTTGCTCAACAGCTCATTTCTCCGCCCTTTTTTCTTCTTTTTATTCATTTTATAAATTGGTTGATACACAACATACAACATTTTGTATACAATTTACCATATCACCTAATATTCTTCCAATGGATAATTACTTAAAATAAACGGTGTTTTACTCAAACATTTGAACATGCAACTCCTGTTGTTAGGAAAATCATGCCTTTGGTATATGATATGGTTTTGGTTGAAGAATGATGAAAATATGTAAATTCTGAACCTGTGTTATTGGGTAAAGTAAGACTTTGGAGATGAAGGATTTTTGTTTAGTAGGAGTGAAGCAGAGAAATGCAAGTTCAATGAAACACGGGTCAGCTATGTTTAGGAAGGTTGAAAAACTTGAGATTAATAGATTTCTTTAATCCATTTTGTAGAAAGTGAACATGCTTAGCACCTTAGTGGTTTAGATTTCTTAAATCCTTTTTATAGAAAGACAGGTAGATTCATGGAGGTTTCACTCATAGGATTCAAGTTGAATGAAATGGATGGAGAAATGCTTCAATCATAATTTGCAATAGATATTTCAATCTTGAAATATCTATTAAACTTGAATCAATTTTCTGCTGGACTGCTATAAAGAAAAGCAATACTCAATGGTTGGGAATTTTTGGTAAAAAAATGACTATGCTATGTTTGGTGGATATGAGCATTTTTAGGTGGATGGGTAGATATACATATAAATATTTTTAATGACAGAAAATAACTGGAAGAGATGCTGAAAACTGTGAATGAACGATGCTACAAATTCTAATAAGAAATTACTATAATTCTAAGTGTCCTAATTAATCAAAATATAGAAGAAGAATAAAACCTAATGTCATGTTTGGTTTCACGAGAGGAATAGAGGAATTGAAAATAGAAAAGAAATAAGTTGATAAAAGAGAAATTGGTGAGGAATAAAATTAAACGATTAGTTATTTGGTCAAGATAGATAGATAGGTGAGAAATAGAGTGGAAAGTGTTTTCGGAATTGTGTACTGGTATATATAAGAGTAAAATTGAGATTTTATTTTTTAATGCCTACTATCAGTGTAGTGCCAAACGCTTCACTTTGCAGCCCATCCACTTGACCATTACCAAATATATTCTCCTCTTTGCTCTGCCTTAAAAAATAGAGCATGAGAGATAATCTAAGATACTCTAAACTATTCTAAGATAATATCTTTAGATATTTCTTATATTTCTAACAAAAACATAAAATGAGGAACAAATATATCTGAGATAGTTAAAGCAACATCTAATCTGAAGGTGTGGGAAACTCACTTTCTAAGGTTGGATTGGTCTTAGAAGAAGATGAACGTACAGGCTTCACCATGAAAAATGAACTTTGGTTTCTAATAAAGCCAAGGGTTGTCAGTTGATGCTTATACTGTAGCATAATATTCCCCACTCCTCGTGGGATAATGTTCACTTGTGTTTTATAATTGATTAAATAAGCCATATATTTGAGCTAGTCATGCCAATATTCATTCAATCTTATCAATCTTATTAATACATGCACTAGCTAATTTGGCAGTTGGATATTCTTATACCCTGGCCTCAACTTTTGCCCCATCTTTACCCTTTCTAATTGAAGGACAGTTCTCCAGTGGATTTATGCATTCAATAGGCTTCATACTAATCTATTTCAGTTGTTTGTTTGCATTTGTACATACTTGTATCTCATGTTATGTTACTTGTACAGTGTAAACATGTAGACATGAAAAATGTCCCCAGTTGCCTTTTTTCATCATGTTTTATGTTGTTGTTGGTTTCTGTTCAGTGATATTCTTTGATCCTGGAAGTTCAAACCTTGGCTTGTTATTCATGACTAGTTTTAACCTCTCTTCATGTATAGTTGATAATGTCAGGTACAATATCTTTTTCTCTCTGTCTAATTTACAATGTGATGCCTTGGATAACATTTCAGGCCAAATTGTGTACAAAAAATTAAAAGAGAGAGCAAACCAGTATGTTACCAGAGGCCTTGTTAGAACAGAAGAAAGCAAACAGAAAATCGGTGGTGCAAAAGATGTTTTTGTTGGGGATATCAGAGATGCTGAAAGTATTACTCCTGCATTTCAAGGTATAGATGCTCTCATAATTCTCACAAGTGCAGTTCCACAAATGAAGCCTGGGTTTGATCCAACAAAAGGTGGAAGGCCTGAGTTCTATTATGCTGATGGAGCATATCCTGAACAGGTGCCATTACATATTCCCTAGCATGCTCAGTTTAATTCTATATGTATACACATATATCCTCTTATTAAAACAATAGCATACTTGATATTTTAGGTTGACTGGATTGGGCAGAAAAATCAAATAGATGCTGGTAGGAATCTCTATTCATTCCATTTATTGTAAATTATAGTACTAATCCTTGCGTGTGATACTAAAATTGTATTACCTCTATGAATAGCCAAGGCTGTAGGAGTGAAGCATGTCGTGTTGGTTGGGTCTATGGGTGGAACAAACCCTAATCATCCGCTGAACAGCTTGGGAAATGGGAATATATTGGTTAGTCAATATACTATTTATTGAATTCTTTCATAACTTCATGGTCTCATTTTTCTATTAAAATAAATAGAGCTCAAGTTCCATTTCGAAGCATAATGCAATTTTAGTTAAAAGATAACTTCATTTTCTCTTCCCCTCTATCGTTTTAGTTCCTCCTGTTCATAGGAAGCTTATAGTTTTATATTGATCTCAGATTTGGAAGAGAAAGGCTGAGCAATATCTGGCTGATTCTGGCATTCCATACACAATTATAAGGTGTACACTAATGTCTATCCATATCATCATGTATAGTTTGCCGGTATTGGTTTATATTTTTGTTCCATGCTGTTCAATTTGCCCATTCTCTTGGATCAAGTCAACCAGCCTTATCTTGACATCTGGTTTGGTTGAGTGAAAAATTAGAACTCTTGATGTTATTCTCAGGGTAGGAACTATTATCTAGTAACCTTGAGAGAATATTGATACTTGATACCGTGCCTTGTATATGAAAACTTTTCAAGATCTTTAGGGAACAACATTGATACTTGTCAAACTTTTTTCGCTACCTACATTACGCCATCTGAATCTGATGCTTAGAAATACAAATGCAATTTCAATGGCTTTTGTATGTACTATGTAGTTGCCATCTGAATCTAATCCTTAGAAATACAAATACAATTTCATTTGCTTTATATATCTACATAATTTCCATGTGTTGGACATACATTGATATTGTTGCCAATGCAAATTAAAAATTTTGGGGTGTGACATTCTTGTAATATGTTCCAAGACTGTGTCCTTCTGTACAATATTTCCTGATGTTTTGTGCTGAACCAGGCCTGGTGGTTTGATAGATAAAGAAGGAGGTATTAGGGAACTCATTGTGGGAAAAGATGACGAGCTTCTCCAGACTGAAACCAAAGCCATTCCTCGAGCTGATGTTGCTGAAGTTTGCGTTCAGGTATAAATTTTTTACTGGGTCTTGCTAATCATCCCTGGTCAAGGAATTAAAATGATGTTTCTATGATATATATCATATGAAAGTACATTTAAAAAAACTCATTAGAGAGATCATTTTTACATAGTCGAACAAAAAGTTATTAATTAGGAGAAGTGGATATTGATTTTTGAGTCAAATGGTTTGACAGGCATTGAGTTTTGAGGAGGTTCAATTCAAGGCTTTTGACTTGGCATCAAAACCTGAGGGAGTAGGTACCCCAACGAAGGACTTCAAAGCTTTGTTTTCCAATATCACAGCTCGGTTTTGATACATGATGCAATGGTCGTGTTTGAATAACTTAGGGATACCCTAAATCATGTTAGAGATTGTTGTATAAACACCAAAACAAATAAATTAGCTCAATAATACCGTTGAAAAGAATTTCATATTTATGCTTTTAATTCTTTATAATTTTTTTATATATATTGAAGATGTATTTAACTGCTACTAGCTAACAATACAAAAAGAAAGCTATTGTAAAAATATGTTATCTGTGAGTATTCTTCCCTCAAATAACTCAGTTTGCATGCATATCTAATCTTTACCCTAAACCTATGAACTCAATCATACCAAAGTTATTATAAACCATCACGTAGACTTGTCTCCCTGAAATAACATTTCGGATTGAATTTTCTTATATAAAAAAAATGTTGGGAGGGCATATCTCACTAAAAAATTATCTTTCACGTTTTTTTACAAGATTAGTAATCGATGAAGTTAATAGAAATTTCACACCAATTACTACGTTTTTCATAATTTACATACTAAAAACGAACATAATATTGTTTCTTACATAAATAATTGATGAACATGAAAATTTAGTGCGAAACATTTAAAAATAATATTGAAAAGTTATATCGAAATGAAAAGAATTGATGTTGTTTTAAGATAGGAATTGTAAATTAAACAAAGCAAACAAGTACAGATAAAGAAATTAGAAAAAACTGATGACCCAGTAAAAATAGAACATGAAAAAGAAAAGAGTGATATGGAGATACACTTTCAATTTCATTGATTATCATATGTCTAGGTGTTTATAGAAATTTGAGTGATCTTATATTTCTCGAGTTCTTACTATCCATAATACTAGTATATATTTTGATTTTTTTAAGAATATTAAAATATTAAAAATATATTGAAAAAAAAATTAAACTTATACATTTAGTATAATTAATTTTTTTAAGAAAAAGTGCTTTCGAGATTGATCTATTTTGTTAATGACGTGTTTATTAGTAGGTTAAACTATCTTATTCTATCATCAATTTTTGGTGGGTAATTTAAATATACACGTTAAAGTCAATTGATCTCATTACTGATAATTGTTGGGTGAACTATGACAAAACATGACAACTTATTTTTGTTGCTATAAACCAAACAAACTGTAGAATTCCTTCTCTTGTTCCAACCCAATAGTACACACCTTATATTTCTTTCACTCAATGACAAGCCAAAGAAATAAAGTAAAAAAAAAAAATCTAGATATCTTTAGAAGTTATAGTGAGTCACATTTTTATAAAAAGAAAGTGAAAGAATCATAGAGGACTCATCCAAACAATAAACGATAATACATTAAAAATACTAAGATGTTTGTTGTTCTGCTAATTTATTGAACTAAGCTTTAAACAACTGAAATGAAAAATCATTATTTCAAATTCTTCATGTACAAACTCAACTCTACTTAATTTAGTATATTTATCAATACAAAATATTTAATAAATTTTATAAATTATGCTCTTATTTAAATCAGTTAATCTATTTTATAAAAAAACTGTTAACTGTGAACAATTATGTATAAAAAAATGTTAAAACTATAAAACTAAAAGAAAACAATAAAAAATGAATTCAAATAAGCAGCGATGTTATTTCAACTAGTATTTATCCAATTATTTTTTCATTTATTTTGTATTATACGCCTCTTTTTTATTACATATTTAATTGTTTATTTCCCTTTCTTTTATAACAATGGAAGCTTGTGACAATCAGCTAAAAAAATTTTAATATTCAAATTTACATAAAACATTTCAAACAACACCCTGCACTTATTAACATTTTTAAATGAAAAGTTATTTCAAGCATAAAAAATACTTTAAATATTATAACTAGATTTATAATTATTTTTGTCTTATTATTTTTTAAAAATATAACCAACATACAAAACGAAAAAATGCTTCTTTTTTTAACAAAAATTAATTATTTATTAGGGAACAAAACTTAACCAGGACATAAGCCTTTGTTTGTTTTAATAAAAATTACATTTTTTACAAAGATTAATAAAACAATTTTGAACCTTAATTCTTTTTATTTTTTATTTTTTAATAAATTGAAGGGATATTCTCCAATTATTATAGCCATTAGTCCATATTTTATAAATCACGAATATTGCGCGCTGGTCCCAAGACATACAACGGTGGTGGCGCCTGTGTCTAAGCGTCTTCAATGGCCACTCTCCTTCTACCTCTCAACTCTTACTCTCCCACTCCATTTCAAAACCCTAATCTCTCTTCTCTTAAGATCAAAATCAATCAACGCCACTATCCTTTCCGAACTCTACGACATCATCACAGTCCATTCATTTGTGCATTGGAGGAAGATTCGAACCCTGAAACAGTCCAAGGTACCCTCCCCTCCTCTCTCTCTCTCTCTCTCTGCTAAGCTAATTAACGTGTCAAAGAATTTAGTTTTTTACTGTTAATTCTTTAATCAGATGGCGAGGTCAACAATTTAGGAGTCAAAGTTGCACTGTCCATGTTGAGATTCTACAAGAGTAACTGTTTTCCTTTCATCATTTCTATATAATTTTGGAGTGATTATATGTTCTATTGTATGTGCCTTTTCAATTTTCTCTATGCGTAGTGTGTTCTGGGCCCTTTTTTTTTTTTTTTTTTTTTTTTTTTTTTTTGAGGTATGTTTATGGTAGAAAAAGGAGTTGAGATGAACGTTACGGGGCAAAATGGATGAGGCAGAATGGATTGCAATGACATGACGTAGAATGTCATTTATTGTTTGGATATTTTATAATGGAATGAAATTGAGATTCCCTTCCTTGGAAAAAGAAAGGAACCAAATAAGTTATAAATTTATAATTTTTATATTACCCTCACTTTATCACTATTTAGCATGCAATCCCAACAAGGTTCGCATTTGAAGCTATACCAATCATGTGCAACATACCATTTAACAAAAATAATAGAAAAAGAAACAAAGTAGGGGAACTATACTAAAACCCACACAATCAATAAGCAAGCCTATATAGTTAGATAGGGACCATTTATTCATAAAGAAATCAAATGTAATGAATTCTGGCATATGGTTCCACCATCTATTACATCTATCTGTAGCTTCAAAATTGGCAAGTTTATCCGCATAGTGATTACCCTCTCTATAAACATAAGAAATATAAAAGTTCATAGTACCTAACTAATAGGTTATATTTTACCACCTACTCTTAAGTTGGCAAGGATCAGGCTTATCTAGTCGAAAGCTTGAATAACAGGAATGGAGTCACTTTCAATCTACAGCATGTATAACATATTAACACCCAAAAGTTCATCATCAAGAGAACTATGTATGCTAAGAAATATAGAGAAACAACCAATAAAAGAAACAACTGAATCTTTAAAGATAATTAGATACCTAAACAAGCTGCAAGGTCCGGTTGATCCTTTTCATTAACCCATTGACAAGGAGGAGGCAACCATATTACAGGTACGATAGAAAGAGCAATACCAAACTTGATGGTTATGTTAAAAGTCTAAAGGATTTGAAACTCTTGCATATACCATTTTTAAGATTTATGTATGGAATCATTGTGCTGTTAAAGCAAATAGAATTACGTCTAAACCAAATGACATCTATAGCATAATAATAAATTGATGCTTGTATAACAACATTAACAAGATGACTCCAACTACCATCCATATCTTCATAAGCGAGAACTAATCTCCTGATGATCAACATGAAAACCCAAATTTGCATGCATAAGGGCAGTGATAGAACAGATGCTCAGCTGTTTCAATATTATTTTTCACAATGATAGCAACAAGCAACCACATAGCAGCCCATTTTCAGAAGATTATCTGATGGAAATATTCCTCCATCATTATCCTTAGTGGCAATGTGATTATGCATACATCTCCGAAAAAGAAAGATTGGAATATACTGATTTTGCAACCTTTAACTTAAACCAATTCCATAACCAAAACCAATCAAATTTTCATGCACTTGCTGATATGCAATATTAGAAGAAGGAATACCATCAGTAGAGTTTGCCCAGTATTGTTCATCTTTAGTAGATTCAATAGGTAAAATGATCTCTTTAATTCGGGTAGCTAGTGTAGGACCCTTATTGTTAATAACATCTAAATTGCACCACTTACCATCCTCAATATTTTTCGTAATTGTATAGGTCAACTGACTGTGCAGACTATAAAGAATATTCATAATGTCTATAAAAGCCTTATCCAACCATGCGTCAGTCCAAAATCGAATAAGAGTACCATAAGTAGAGTTTACCCAGAATTGCTCATCCTGAGTAGATTCAATAGGCAAAATGATCTCTTCAATACGGTTAGCTAGGGCAGTATCCTTATTGTTAAATAACAAATAAGTGACACCACTTACCATTCTCAATATATTCCACAACTGTATAGGTCAACTGATTATGAAGACTATAGCGGATATTCAAAATGCTTACAAGAGGTCTATCCAACCATGCGTCAGTGCAAAATCAAATAAGAGTACCATCACCAATCTGCCATCTCACATTAGCTAACACAGGGAAAACAATTTTGAGTATTAGATCAAATGCAAGAGCTAATAAAGGATACATAATCACCCTTCTTTTTTAGAATTCTAGCATGCAATATATGAGCCTATGGATGTAAAAAATAATTAGTAATTCAGTACTTTCTGGATGCGTATCCTGAAAATTCCAATGAGATTGGTGTCCTTTATGGGTACAACACATACTTTTCCAATTTTGGAGCATCCCTGCTTCATAGGCTCAACTTATTTTGATCAAGTTTCACGCACAGAAGTTTGTTAGAATAATCTTGTTCTATTTAACTTATTTCATTGACTCTGGCTATTATATGAATAAGTTCTTTTTTGGTAGAATATTATTGAATAAATGTCTGATTAAGTTTTGTTTACCCAAACATGCTATTATTCATGTGTGCAGGGGAAATTTCACCAATTTTGCCAAAGAGCTGTCGCTACCTTCCTACATGCAGTGAATATTCCATGGAGGCTTATAAGAGATATGGAGTGGTGAAGGGTACAGTTTTGACTGCATGGCGTCTCTGTCGATGCAATCCCCTTGGTATTGTATTGACCAGAAACTTTGATACGTGTTGTGCATACTTATTGTTTTTGTTCTGATTTTACGTTACATATTGGGTTTTAAATGTTTTACAAGTTAATTCTTTATATGTGTTTAGGTGGCCATGGTTATGATCCACCTAGATGGTTTGGTGAGGTTCGCCCACTGGAAGATGTTGATGACTAATTAACATGAGTGGCTAATCTTAAGGTGGTCATCACTACTGATATACATTTTGAAGTTCTTTGATGTGCTTGTGTGAGTTTGTAGTGATTTTGCGTTGGCCTTTTCTGTGCGACTTTGTACTACTAATGCAAAAGAACTGTTCTCACCACATGAGAGAAATTGCATTAAATTAAGAAGAATTATAGATGTGATCGGAATATAGAGCTGATGGTAATAAAATTAAACATCTTTCTACATCCAAAGATAAAACTTTGCTGAAACAAAGAAAGAATCTGCATATTGAATATCCTAGATTTGTACTTTATTAACTATTTTTTCAATCCAACATGGGGATAATCATCTGCATAAGGAAGGTCCTAGATTTGTACTTTATAAACTATCTTTTTCAATCCAACATGGAATAATCATCTACATAAGGAAGGTCCTAGATTTGTGCTGCCAATCTTAACGAGACATATAATTGGTTTAGATTTTCTGTTTTATATTTGAGGAATGCTGGTGACACTTATATTGTCACTTTTTTTTTTATCATGGTATCTACTATTAGGTGGAATCTCATACTGGCCGCACTAAATACTGGAGTTCACTATCTACTAATGGAGTCAACAAAGAATTTCACCTATGATGCATGGAGTTCACTATCTACTAATGGAGTCAACAAATAATTTCACCTATGGTGCATGATTGTTTTGGGTTGGGAATTTTTTTAATTTTTAAAATTTGCATAGCATACTATTCTGAACACAAAGTATTCAATTTCAAGTTAAAAATTTGGTTGGTTTAATTATAAAATATATCATATTACAGTCTTATGTTTACCAAAAAGAGCTTTCTGTTTGAGAAAAAATAATTAATTGAAGTGTTATGTCTTGGTTTGTATGCTTTATCCGATGTCAAGCATGTGATAAAATATTACATATGATAGCATACAACACATTGTTTTCCGGTTACTGTCTTTACTGATTGCTATTGCACAGTAATATTTACTGATTGTTTAAGGTGGTATGAGATTGGCTTTCCTTTCTTCCCTGTTTTTTAGTTAATTTCTATGCCAAATCACTGGTGGTTTAGAAGAAAAAGATTTTTATTTGGGAACTTACTGCTGGGAAAAACAATGAGCTTCCTCAGGCTGAACTAAGAAACATAACCAGTGCTGACGTTGTGGAAGTCTTTATTCAGGTATTCTAGACTTGTGTTGGTATTTGTGAATTGTATGCTCTTCTGTCTCTCCATAAGTTATCTATGTTATTTAAAATGTTTCATTACATGTCCCTTTCTTGTGTATTACCAACATTGTTTTCACTTGAATTACAAAATGAAAATTGAAAAACCATTTGAATTTTGTAGGACTTTTCTGGGACTAGTTGATTCCCACTGTAGTTGTAGGGTTGGTTACCAAATTTCAATGTATAATTTTTGTAGTGCAGGAATACTGTAGTGCAGGCTTTGTTTCAGTTAATATTGTAAAAATAATCTAAAATTAGATTTTAAAATATAAATAAATGAAAATATAAAATTAAATTGTAATCAATAAAAAATATCTTACCAAATTTAATTTGCATCTTTCCTTCAACACCATATTGCTCTTCCTAAACTTTTATCGAAACCAAAAGGGTTACGAGAAACTTCGTCCCATTTTCTTTTATTTAAAAATTCTTCACTGCCTCTTTACCAAATTAGGTTTGTTTAGTTTAAATGTTTAAATTTTATATTTTTTAGTTAATCGGACCTCTATCTATTATTTAGTCAATAACCTTTGGATACAAGCATTAGTTTTGGTTGATTTTTCTTTTTTTTTTTCATTGGATTCTTAACGTGTGGGACTTCAAAACGAAGATATGATTTGCTAAATTCAGAGTTGCTTATTATTCTCTATGATTTTATCAAACATAAACAAATTTATTGTATTTTTTTATGCAAAATTATGATAGGACTTTCGTAATTAACCGCGTAACCATAACTTCGATTCATAATCAAGTTCCATCTATTTTTCGCTAATAAAGCTTATAAATTGACTAATGAAGTTTTGATTATACATTTGAATAATTATTCCTTTTTTTTTTAATTGTTTCTCTTTTTTCTCTATTTTTCAAGTGTATTTTCATTTTCCATTTTAATTTTACATCACTGTTCATCCTTTTTTTTTACTAAAAAAGTTAATAAAGTGGGGATGAGATAATTATAGTGTTAATAAAAGTTATTTAACTAAATATAATTTAATTAAAATAATGAGTTATTAATTGTAGGAACTTTACTTAAATTATTTTAGATAATTTAAAATCAATTTAGTAAGTGATAATTGATAGAGGAATTGGAGTAGAGAATCAATTTGTTTTCTTTATTGAATGGGTTTTTATTTCTACTTTTGCTTTGTTTTCAATTTTGTTTTTAATGTGTTTGTTATCATAAATCAAGTAATATTTATACCCAATAGTTACGTAAGCTCAACATGTTATGTTTGATATCATCCACATATAATACATTTTTTGTAAAAATTGATGATACATGTTGAATATTTTAAACACCTAATATCTTGCCACAAATATCATCTCCAATGTCACATAACTATGCTGAATCTTCTATTCTTCTCAAATCATGCCTAGAACAACCATTATTGTGAAGACCCAAAATTTATTGTAGATTATTATCCAATTAGTAATGGAGGGCGAGGAGGAAATTTCCCACTCAAATAATTTGGTGTATGGGTCATCTGTCAATGACCTTTTCTTCAAGGGGTTTAAAAATATAGGGGAAGATATTGGTTCAACATAAAATAAAAGTCCAAACTCCAGAAGAATTATAAGTTTGCGTTTAATTAATATTGAGTTGAATAATTATTTGAAAATTCATTTCTAATTTCCAATGTAATTTTGGTTTTTAATTTTGTGTGAATAAGTTGATATGACTTTTCATATTTCTTAGATTAGTTTTTAGTGTATTTAATTTTTCTAAGTCATTACAATGACTAATAGAATTTAATGAGTAATTTATAAGATGATTAATAGAAAATAATTGCTTGGTGAAATTACTACAAATTTATGAACATTTATGTGTATTCTTATAGATTACCTAGTTTTACCTATTTTAAGTTTTTAAGCACAATTCAGATATTAATTAAATTGAATGTTTTCTTATTATGAGAGTCTTTTTATTGTTCTTGGTTCTACCGATAAGGCGCAGTTAAGGTTATGCTTTTCTTGATAACTTTGGTTCAATTGGTAAGTCGTGGTTTATGTCCAGTTTTGTATTATCCTTTATCTAGTTTCAAGATAATCCATAAAGTCAATATCATATCATTTAAATAATATAAATTATAAGATAAAAGGGACAAGACAAAAAAATACAAATTATTAACAATGATATATGGAATAAAAAATAAAGAAAAATCTGTCTTTAGATTTTTTTCTAGGTAACTTTTATTGATGTGTCAAAGTCAACAACGTTATCAATATACATTATCACTCAAGTCAATCAAATAATTCTAATTCAAAACTTAATTTTTCTATATTAGAGAAAAAAGTTTTTGAGATATTTTTGGGAAGAGAAAGAGTGGAGTTTAACAGAACAGGATTGAACTCGGTTGGTAGTGTTTAGTTATCCATTTCTAAAAGTTTTTCTTATTCGTCTTTCGCATATATTTTTTACTATCATACTCCTTTCTGAAAAAATGGTTAGGCTCTGATACCATTTTGAATAAAGACCCCTTCTTATCCAGACGATATGAATCTCTTCGATAACAATGGCGCCACCTCGGCTTAAAAGGCTATTCAAGTTCATATTTCTTATAAGAAGAGCGCTCTGCGATAAAACGGTTTCAAGGATCAGAAGCTTTCTGATAAACATGATTTTCATAAGAGGCAAGTATAGAACATACTTGCATCTAGGTGGGAAATAATACTAAAAACTATAAGTTTCGAGCTTTTAGAGAAGAGAAAACTTAAAGAGAGAACATTTTAAAAAAGAATTTGTATTGGATTGATTCTTGTTGGTTTTGAGTTACAACATTACAAACTCTTCCTATTTATAGGAAAACTACATAAGCAAAATTCAAATTTCGTTAAACTAAAATGAACTTCGGACCCGAAATATCATACAAAGTGGAATCTGAAGATAAAGTTATGACTCATACTCATTATAGCCTTACAAAAGGACAATATAGGATAAAATTTGATGAGATATCTTACAAACAAGATAGGATGCGACAAGATATTTTACAGATAAGATAAGATATGATAAGATACTATATCCCTTCAAATAAAGTAAAGTTGATTTGGTCTCATCTTCATTAACACGTTTGTGGAATTCACAATTGACACGTGTAAAGACAAGATAATCTTGCTTTAGTAACATGTCATGATGACAACCATTAACTAAAATTTTTACTTTAGTCAGATCTGGTGGAGCCAGAATGATTCATCTGCTGGGCCTCGCTCTTTGTCATGCTTCCATGTAGTGGGTCCAGTAGAGATACATTAACCCCTGTTCCTTTTCATGCTAAGTACAAATACTTTATCACTTTTATTGACGATTATAGTCGTTTCACATGGGTCTATTTCTTGCGGTCTAAACATGAAGTATTCTCTACATTCAAATTTTTTCATGCTTATGTTTAGACCCAATTTTCTTCCAAAATTAAAATTTTGCGGTCTGATAATGGGGGAATATACATCTCATTTATTTCAAGAATTTCTGCAATCTAATGGTATTTTATCTCAACGGTCCTGTCCTTTCACTCTCCAACAAAATGGGGTAGCTAAACGGAAAAATAATCATTTACTAGATGTTGTTCATACTCTTTTGTTGGAATCTTCTGTGCCCTCCAGGTTTTTGTGTGAAGCACTATCCACTACAGTTCATCTTATCAATCGTTTGTCATCCCTATCATTAAACAATTATTCTCCTTTCACTCGACTATTTGGTCATCTACCTGATTATTCCACTCTTTGTACCTTTGGTTGTGTGTGTTATGTTTATCTTCCTTCTCACGAACGTCATAAATT